GGTGAGGGCAATAATGATGCGGCGGAGGATGACGAAGACAATGATGGAGAGGATGAGGAGGAGTATGCCGATCATCTATACGAGGATGCTACGATTGGGGAGGGCAATGATGAGGATGATGGGGGTGACGATGATGCGCATACGTATGATGAGTAGTCTTATGTTCGTAGTGTTGAGTGCGATCGCCCTCCTTGTCCTCCATCATCCTCCCTCTCCCCTCTGCCTCCTCCTCGATCTGCTCCCCCTCTTCTCCCCCCTCTGCCTCCTTCTCGTCCTCCTCCCCCTTCGTTCCCCCCGTTCTCTCCCGTCATCCGTGTTTTTGTCCCCTCCAGGTGGAGGGAGGGGGAATCGATGATAATAACGATGATGCTGGTAATGGTAAGGATGATGAAGATGAAGATGATGATGATGATGGTGATGCTGATGATGGTGATGATGATGATACTGATGATGATGATGATGATGATGATGATGATGATGATGATGATGATGATGATGATGATGATGATGATGACGATGCTGATTAGGCTGACGTCGACGATGAAAATGATGGTGGCGATACTGTTATTGCTGACGATGGTGATGGACCTGGTGACTATGATTCTGATGATGATGATAATGATGATGGTGGTACTGGTGACGACGATACTGATGACGCTGACTACGATGATCATGGTGATGGTGATACTGGTGACGGCGGTAATCATGATGCTGACTACGATGAGGATGATAATGATGGTGGTGGTACTGGTGACGACGATCATCATGATGCTGACTAAGATGGTGATGCTTACTAGGATGACGGCCATGACGATGATGGTATTGACTGTGATGGTGTGGTGGTGACGATGATGATGATAATTATGATGACGGTGATGACGATGATGACCATTATGATGGTGATGGCGATGGTGATCATCATGATGATGGTGATGCCGATTCTGATCAGTATGATGATGGTGATGGCGATGGTGATGGTATTGGTAAGGGTACTCCTCTAATAGGATTCGATTTGGAATGGGTGCACGTCCCATATGATTCTATTAGGAGTGGATGCACCTCTAATAGGGTTCTAGTAGGGGTGGGTACATCTCCACTAGGATTCTAGTAGGGGGGATACACCTCTAATAGGATTCTAAATAAGGGGTGGATACACTTCTAATAGCTTCCGATCCTATTAGAGGTGGATGCACGTCTATTAGGATTCTATTGGGGGTGAATACACCTCGAATAGGATTCTATTAGGGGTGGATGCACCTTTCGTAGGATTCCACTAGGGGTGGATACACCTCTGCTCGCTCCTCCAGTCACCTGCGGCCCGCCCACGCTGCCCCATCCAGCAGCGGCGCGCTTCCCCAGCCGATCGCCGACAGCGGCCCGAAGGCCCGCGGCAACGCCGACTGCAGCCCGAGGGCCCGCGGCACTCGGAGGGCCCACGGGCGCCACAGGTGACTCTGCTGCCTGCCCACCAGCAGCAGTCCCACCAGCGCCTTCGTCCGCGATCGAGGCGGGCCTGCCCCACTCGCTGTTTACTCCTTGGGTGCACTTGGGGGCAGGCTCCAGCAGAACATCTGGCGACTGAGCCCAGCCCCTCTCGCTGTTTGCCTCGAGGGTGCTCCTGGGGGCTGGGACTTGCGTTCTATTGCCTGCGTCATCTCGCTCTGTGTCGGCGTGGGGCCTTGGCGAGAGCCGCTCTGGGATCAGCGGTTCGCGCGAGGTTCAGCCGATCTCCCGCGCGGATCGGCCCGCGGCTCACGCCTCCACTCGGCGCTGCAACGCCCCGCACCCCCCCTGGCATGAGGTCCTCGTCGACCGTCAGGTCACCGAGGGTATGGTCCTCGGTCGTGTCGCCGAGCAGCCCGCGGATGACCTCGGCCCAGCTCGCGCCGAGGTTCTCTCTCTGCCGCTTCAGCGAGGCCGCGCCGGCGCCGACAGGGGGCTGGTAGCTGACGCCCAGGACGCTGGCCAGCCCGTCGACTGGCTCACTCAACTCACGCCTGAGCGCGGCTCCGACTGCGCCCGCCGCTTGGCCAGGCGGAGGGGCGTCGGGGGAGGGAGGGGGGGCTGCTGCTGCTTGATCTTCTCATGCACCACCTCCGAGAACGCCTCGTCCGTCTCGGCGCCCCCCTGCCCTGGGGCGATGCCCAGGTCGGCCAGTGCCGCACGCGCTCGCTGCAGGAAGGGCTCCCATGCAGGAGGCTCGGGGCGCGGCCCAGCGGGCCGCTGCGCGGGCAGCGTTCGCGCCGCCATATCGGCCAGCCTGCGCTCGGGGGGCGCCCTTGCCACTGAGCAGGAGCCGCATGGGCCAGTGCGGCGCCAATGCCGCGTCCTGCCTGCAGCAGCCCTGCACCTTGCCGCCCAGGCCGCTCGAGACACGAAGAAGTCGATCTCCGACCCTGACCCGACTCGGCACGTGGGGGGCCCAGGCGCCACGACCACGCGGTCGACCTCCTGCGGACAGCCCCAGGCCTCCAGCTCGTGGGGCTTGCAGTTCCAGTCGCCGCCGATGACGCAGGGCACCTTGGTGTAGGCGAGGTGCTCTCCCAGTTGCCCCAGGACCAGCTTCGACTCCGCATCGAGGCCTCTGGCAGCTACCAGGTACACCGACACCGCCAGGACACCCCCCTGGCACTCCACAGTTGACCCACTTCGCGATCACTCGGTCCCGTGGCAGCTTGGGCCCCTTGGGCGCATTGCCCATCCCGATGTGCGCTCGCACTCCGATGCCCGCGCCGCTGGACAGGCCGCCCTTCTCGGTGCGCACAGACTCGCTGGACGCCGCCTTCCGGCCCGCTCTGCGGCAGGCCTGCTCAGCCTCAGGCGCCGCGCCTGGGGCCACGCCCACCTCCTGCAGGAAGACCGCGTCTGCGTTCGCCTCCTGCTGCAGCCAGCGCATCATACTGCCGCGGGACGTGGTGTTGGCTGTGTCCAGCCGCCATGCTCCGACCTCACGCCGAGCCTGGGCCAGCCTCCTCTTGGCCTCGGCCGTCGTGCCCTCGGGCGCGTTTGGCGACGGGGAGCTCTATCCCTGCGGCCTGACACGCCTCCTCGAGCTTGCGGCGGTTCTCGCCCTCGAGCTGGTCGGCTTGGGCAAAGAAGGCCATGTGGTCGTCGTCCGCGCCCTCGGAGCCCGTGGGGTCGCCGCTCCGCTCGACGCCTGGAGCAGCAGCAGGAGGAGGACCTGCAGCATGCGGCCCCGCAGCAGGCTGCCCAGCAGGCTCTGCCCCTTCGCCCATGGGCACGTTGCCCCTGGTTGCCGCCACCCACTAGGCTTTGATCTCGGCCCTGATGGCGTTGACCTTCCGCTGCAGGACCGCGCGAGAGGCCTGGAGGCTGGCTGCCTCGTCTCCGTCGGCGGTGATGGCTGCAAGGGCATCCAGCCCAGCGATCGCCTTGGCCAGCTCGACGCCTCGGGCCGAGCTGGAGCCAGGCGGCAGCCCTGCTTGTTTCATCCGCTTGGCTTGCTCCAACGCCTCGCGGCCCTCGGCCTGGCGCTGGCGAGCCGCCTCGAGGACTGCCGCCGCCTCCTCCACGGCCTGCTTCGCCTGCACCAGGTTCTCGACCGCCTCCTTGTGCGCTGCCTCCTTCGCCGCCGCCTGCTTGCCCATCTTCTCGAGCTTCCAGATGCATGACTGCAGCACCTGCGAGTAGGTCTTGGGCTTGCCCTATTTCGCAGGCTGCTTTGGGGCCAGCTCGGTCCGATCCGCGTCGCTGATGACCGCGCCCTTGTCCGCAGGCAATGCCAGGCAGGCCGCCGCGACCGCCTCCTCGCTGGCCCCGCCCGGGGCAGACGTGGCCTCCTGCTGCATCTGGGCCGTGGGCCCCTCAGAGGACTGGCCTCCCTGCGGCAGTACCTTGCGACCCACGTTGTCTCGGCCATTGCCAGCTGGGGGCTGGCTGCCCGCCTTGGCTCCTGCCGCCATCTCCATTGCATGCTGGCGCACGGACAGCGGGGCCGCCCGCCCACACGATCTGCACGCCAGCCTGCACGCCCAATTGCCGTCTGTGCCGCACCTGCAGCCCCAGGAAGGCTTCCGGGGGCCAGGCAGGGCGGCCGCGTCGCTGGCCAGCGGCTGGCTCTGCCGCGCTGCCACGGCGCTGGCGTGAAGCGCGAGCCCCCTCCAGCGCCAGCAGCGCGCGGCGGCTGCCGCCTGCTGCGCCCGACTTGCCAGGGCCCGTCGGCGCCGCCGTCTGCCCACGAGACTCGCCGCGGGCGCGATCCCCCGAGCGACGGGGCGGCGGGGCCCTCGCTTGGCGCCATGGGAGCCGAGGAAGCAGCGGAGACAGAGGAATGGTGGGAAGTCATCTCTCCGAGAAGGAACACGTTGCCAGTGCCCGTGCGTACACGGCGCTCTGAAGTATGTACGCACAAGACCCCCCCAACTAGGAAAGCCCAGAACGCCTTTCCTCCTCCTCCTCCTCCTACTCCTCCTGCTCCTCTCTTCTACTCTGGGCTCCTCCTCCTCCTCCTCCTCCTCCGCCTCCTCCTCCTCGCTCTCCTCCCTATGGTAGTGGTGGTGGACCATCGGCCCATCAGAAAAGGTACCCATACCTATACCCTTCGCCCGTTTTCTCCCTTTTGAGCCTCTTCGGAGGCCCTCGTCGCCACCGCTGGATTCGCCTTCAAATTCTGGTCAGAACGCACCCCAGGAGAGGTCCATGGAGTAGCGGTATCAGTACCCTTCGGTCTCCATGGGATTTGTGTTCATTCTGTGTGTCTATTAACATGTGTGCCCCTGAGCGTCCTCACACACACCGCCCGATCTTGGTTTGCAGCTCGGCCCGTGTCGAGCGCCACTCCCGGAGCTCCTGAGGGGGCCCCCTCCTGCCCGGCCCTGATCATTGTTGCCTGCATCTTCTTACTCGCCGCAGGTGCGCTATCAATATGTTCCAGTTGGGTATCCGTGGCCATTCTGGCTCAAGCCGTTAATGGCCAAGTAATGTGCATGCCATTCTAGATCATCGGCCTTTCAGCTGCCACCTACTCGCCTGCGCACGCTATGGCAAACGCAACCTACTCTGGCCAGTGGGCAAACATAGTAGGTCAGCGCGGTAACGTCTCATTGCAGATCTTCCTCAACGGCGACAGTCTCCCAGAAGTCATCAAGGTGAATGACGCACCATTGACGAACAATGTCTGCACTGTGAGCTCCACGAAGCACGGCTATTTTCGAGGTGAAGATCTTGATGGGTACATCTACCAGCTTCACGTTTCACCTGATTTTGCCAGTGTCAACGGCTACTACTCTCGTGGTGCGAAACTCTTCGCTGGGCCGGGCTTCCAAGAAGGTGATGGTATTTCAGGCGTGGTGTGCTTCAACAGAACGGGCCACCTCCTGCCAATTGTGTTGAAGAGCGATCTTTCCAGCCATGCCGATTGTCCTTGCACGAGTGAGCGCCTCTTCAAGTCGAAGCGGGCAAACATCGGAGGCCACCACGATGATTTTGACATCTCCGTCCGGGTGGACGACACAGGCCCGTACGCAGCTGATGTCGATGGGCAGGAGCTTCAGGACGTGCTGTGCACGACCGACCCGCAAGGTCATCACCACCTCTTCGGTAAGACGCCCGGTGGCTATCTGTGGCAGCTGCACTTGTCGCCAAACCTGCGGCACGTCAACGGGTACTACTCGCGTGGCAGCGAGCCTCTCGCTGGACCGTTCTCCGCCGAGGAGGTCGATCTCTTCGGCGTGGTGCATGGCGCTTCCCCAGGCCCTCTGCTAACTCCAGACCCGATCGTCCTCGGCGACGATGGCACGGCTGCATTCCGCGTAATGTCCTTCAACGTCTGGAAAGATGGAGGGCGCTCTTTGGAGAGGACCGTTGAGGTTATCCGGACTCTGAGGCCCGACATCGTGGGGTTGCAGGAGGCAAGCGAGGCAACAGTGAAACGCATCGCTCGTGATGTCGGGCTCCATTATTATGCTCTCGGCAGGCAGGGTGTGCTGTCGCGCTTTCCGCTAGAATGCATATTTGACGATCACTACGGTGGTGGTGTTGTTGCCGTTCACGCGCCCGTCGAAGGTCGTGCGGAGCCATTTATTCTTCGCCATGCCAATGTGCATTTGGAGCCCTACCCATATCCTCCGTACGAGCTGCGAGCTGAGGGGAAGTCGGCTGGAGAGGCCATTAACGTGGAGGCGACGACACAGTTGCCAATTCTGGCGGCCGTGCTCAGCAATCTCTGCCATTGCTCTGCCAGCCCACGCCCACCGCTGCTGCTCACGGGTGACTTCAATTGCGCTTCTCACTTGGACTATGGGGCGGAGTACCTGGCGCCCTGCAGCGCCTTGTGTGCCGCTGCGGGCCTCGTCGACACCTATGCGGAGGCAAACCCGACGCACCTGGGAGCGTGGCGACATGGAGTGCACGATGCCCCAGGGATCACGTGGGCTGCGCTCCCCGAGGAAGAGCCGAAGAAGATCTGGGATCGCATCGATTTTGTGTATGCGGATCGTGGCAGCCTCGCGGCGGTCGAGTCCAGCAGCACAATCGACTCACGGACTGCCGGCTGCGATCCGTGGCCGAGCGACCATCGGGCCGTGCTGTCGGTGCTGCGCCTGCGTGTGCCGCCGGGGTAGGCCGTGCGGACCAGTTGAGGCCACTGAGCGAGAAAATATTCGGGCCGGACGAAAGGGGGGGATAGGGAAAGGGGGGGTTACGAAATCTGTTGCGTGCAGCTGGTTTCGGCCCCGCCGCCGGGCCCATTCCTCGATACATGGGCGCCTCCCGGCGCCGGCGCGGGAGGCGCCGGGAAAGTCAGCTACGTGAGCTGATTCTCACCCCCCCCCTTTGCTATCCCCCCTTTTGCCCGGCCCGAAATATCACAGACACCTCTGGGTGTATGCTTGCTCTGTTTTAAATTTATGTCGCATGCGTCAGGGCACACGGCACGAGGCCTCCCGGATGAGTCATGCCGCGCCCTTCGTGTGCCCGAGGGAGCACACACGTAATCTTATCCGCCTTTGCACCCTACGGGTGAGAGGGATACCCATCCAGTCGGACAAGCATGGATGACCTATAGCTGTTTCCACCATGCATTCGCGCTGCTCCTGCCAGCACCTCGTATACATAGCCAGCTTTGTTGGCGCCTTGTGGAACACTCCCAAAAAACAGGAGTGCCGCAGACTCCTTTGCCTGTGGCGCGCCAGCGCCCAGACCACCTCGACCACAGTTCCCTGTATACTCCTAAGAGGGGCAGGTGCTACACGTGAATCATACGGGCGCCCCGGCGAGCTGTAAATAGCAATGCTGAGTTGGGCACCTTATCATAATCAGGCGTGTGAGGCATTCGAACGACATCCGGCGCTTTCGCTGAAAATTAGCCTGACGAAGGGTCCAACCAGATGCAGCTGCGAGTGCCGCGAGGGAGATGAGACGAAGGAGTGGGGCGCGCCTCCGAGTAGCTCACGCGGTATAGCCATCTGCCACGAAACATGTGAGGGGTGTGCCGACATGAGTCAGGGGACGCCTGCGAACGTCGCCATTGTGGCCTTCCGTGGAGCTCCCTGTGGGGCCACGAAGCGTGTGAGGGGTGTGCCGAAATCGGGCGGCGGTGCCATGCGAACTTTCCAAGTGGGGCCTTCGGCGGAGCTCCCTATGGGGCCACGAAACGTGCGAGGGGTGTGCCGAAATGGGGCGGCGGTGCCACGGGACCACGAAACGTGTGAGGGGTGTGCCGAAATGGGGCGGCGGTGCCATGCGAACTTGCCCACACGGGCCTTGGGTGGGGCTCCCTATGGGGCCACGAAACATGTGAGGGGTGTGCCGACATGGGGCGGCGGTGCCATGCGACCTTTCCAACTGGGGCCTTACGTGGAGCTCTCCGTGTGGCCATGAAACGTGTGAGGGGTGTGCCGAAACCGGGCGGCGGTGCCATGCGAACTTTCCCACTGGGGCCTTCGATGGAGCTCCCTATGGGGACGCGAAACGTGTGAGGGGTGTGCCGAAATGGGGCGGCGGTGCCATGCAGACTTTCCCACTGGGGCCTTCGGCGGAGCTCCTTATGGGGCCACGAAACGTGTGAGGTGTGTGCCGAAATGGGGCGGCGGTACGATGCGAAATTGCCCACTGGGGCCTTCGTCGGAGCTCCTTATGGGGCCACGAAACGTGTGAGGGGTGTGTGTGTGTGTGTGTGTGTGTGTGTGTGTGTGTGCCGAAATGGGGCGGCGGTGCGATGCGAAATTGCCCACTAGGGCCTTAGGTGGGGCTCCTTATGGGACCGCGAAACGTGTAAGGGGTGTGCCGAAATGGGGCGGCGGTGCCATGTGAACTTTCCCATTGGGGTTGGAGCTCCCCATTTGGCTATGAACCGTGTGAGGGGTGTGCCGAAATGGAATGGGCATTCGGAGAGCAGAGGCAGGGAGGGGAGGAGGGAGGAGGAGGAGGAGGAGCAGGAGGAGGAGGAGGAGGGGGAGGGAGAGGGGGAGGAAGAAGGAACGCGGGGCGCTGTCTGTTCAAAACGAGGACCCAACATCACATGATGGTTGGGAAAAACAGCGAACATAGCAAACACCACGTTCTAGTGGGGTACTCCCGGCAGCAGCTCCAGGTGGCCAGCTCCCGGCTGGCCAGTCCAGCCTTGTCGGCCGCTTGCCTCGAAGGAGTAGGGAAAGGGGACGCCCAGGATTCAAGTTACCTCCTCGTAGGTACCTAGGAGCTTTCCTGTTCACTACAGGAGGCGCCCCGACGGAAGACGAGCACCCTGTGAACCTACCAACAGGGCGAGCGCCCCGCGCTGGACAGGACCTGCCTTGTATCCCTCGAGCGAGTGACCACGAGCGCGAGAAGGCGGGACAGCAACTGATAACGATGTGTCCAGCGAGAGCTCCTTTTTGGATTTCTGCGTCCCGATGATAGGAAGAGCCGACATCGTAGGATCAATAAACAACGTCGCTATGAACGCTTGGCCGCCGAATCATGCCCGCTCCCACCCGTGCGTTTGCTGCACTCGCAACTCCTCACTTATGGTCGCTACTTTTGGGGCGGCAGCCCCATGCTGAAACGGAACCGTCGTCCATGCGTGCAGCTGTTGCAAACCTTGGCGACCAATGTACGCGGCGCCAAGGCGAGCGCCCCGTTCTGGATGTGACCACCCCTTCATCCGTGTAGCAGTTGAACATCTCGAGCTTCAGAATCATACACGCGCGGTGAGGCAATCTCTGGCGAAACGCCTGGCCTGTCCAGCCGACACGTCTGGTAGCGCGACACGAAGTAATTCCCTACAAGGAAAAGCGATGGAGGAGGATGGGGAGGACGATGGTGCTGCTGTTGCTGCTGCTGCTGCCGATGATTTGGATGCGGATGCAGATGACGCTGTTGACGATTAGGGCCACGATGCCGAGTGAGGTGTTGATAATGCTAAGGCCGATGGAGACTACGGCACTGAGGATGATGATAAGAATGGTGGAGGTGGTCATGATGCGGATGACGAGCAATGTGGATATCATGCTGACATGGACGATGCTTATGGTGAGGATGCTGCTCACGATGTTGATGATGCGGCTGGTGATGCTGATGATCATGATGCTGTTGTTGATGATGATGATGATGATGATGATGATGCTGATGATGATGATGATGATGATGATGATGATGATGATGATGATGCTGATGATGACAATGATGAGGACGATTACGCTGATGACGCGATACTGAGGCTCATGCTGCATATAAAGAGCATCATTATGATATGTTGAATGCTGACGCTGATGCTGCATGCGGTGATGGCGATGATGATGGAGGTGCTGCTGCTGCTGATGCTGGTGCTAATGATGATGACGAGGAAAATGCTACCCTGAGACTAGGGCCAGATCTGGTTTACCAGTTCTTCGACTGCCCCCAAGTTTTGATTCCCTCCACCCCAGTTGATCCCACCAATACCGGACTACCAACTCCAGCCGACCCCCTAGACGCCAACCTGCAGGTTTGGACTTTCTTGCACGGCTCGCCGTGGCATGACAAGCTCTGGGGAGGGCGGCCTCTTGCGCAGCTGCACTTGGGGTGCCAACCTCGGCGAGAGTTGTAGGGAGAAGTGGGAGAGGAAAGGGGGGAAACCAGATGTGGAGGCCAGTACTTCGAATAGGCCCGAAAACTAATCCCAATAACTAGTCACCTATGCAAAGCCTGTTAGGCCTAATGGGGCTCGCTGCCCACCAATACACGCTATCAGAGAGAAGGCTTCCCTCTGATTCCAATACACTGCTGGACTGGCTTGATTGACTTTCTAGTCCAGACAGGCGGGTTCTACCGCACACGGTCACATGATAGCCAAGGTCTGCCTAGGATTTCCCGAGGCCTTGGCGAGGGTATTAAGGAGAATATGGGATTACACTGAATAATGATGCTATCCAGTTCTACCGAATATATTGTGAAGTATAGTCTTCCAGCTATGATGACCCGTTGCCGTAGGTCGGTTCCCAAAGAACGTCTTATTCATTTGACCTTTCCACGAAATGTTGATGCAATCTAAATCTCTAAGCCTTCTGAGCGGGGGTATCTTCCCTCGTTCGGCTGTCGCTGGACTCGCTGCCATTTAAGTCTGTTGACCTCTTCCCTCGCGTTTTCAAGCTGCTCTGACAAGGATTTGATACGGACCTCCTGATGATTCCCCTTGATTTCTTCAAGTCTGCCTGCTGAAGGCTCACGCTTACTTGACAGCTGAGACTGGTGTGCCGGCCCTGGGCTGAGACTGCCCTTGCGTCCATATTTGGACACCTCGCGCTGCTGACTGGAGTCCGATGGCGTTCTAGCCCTTTTTCTATTGTACGCTTTCTTCTGCTTCTTCTGTTCAGCTGCTGTCTTACGATTCTTGCTGGCGGACTTGTCCTTCTTGCCCTTCTTCGAAACTTTCTTGGGATGCAGACCTGCGTTGAGACTGGTTTCGTCTTTCTCCTGCGCCGTACGCAACTTCCTCTTGGGAAGAGAATGATTGGATTCTTCATCATAATTGGACTCATGATGCTCAAAGTGCGGACGAAACCTTTCTTGCTGCGAGTCTTATGAATTAGGTGAATCCTCGTGATATTGCTGTGTCTTACTTTTCTGCTTCTGCCTTTCCTTCGTAGGAGATTCTACTACAGGGGATGTTTCCTTCTCTTCTGTCACCGATGGCGAGGGCGAAGCTGGCCTTGGCGGTTGAGGCGGCGGCGGCGGCGGCACTGAGCGACCTTCCTGATTGGTGTCCGTCCGTGGCAGCCCTCACTTGCATGTGGGTTCTGACTCAAGACGGAAGCTCCATATCCAGCACCTTGGTCGTCGAAGGGGGCACACTAAATACTGATTTGATGGCTGCGGCTGCTTTACTGGCTGTGGATGCTTCACTTGGACCCACGGTCGATAGCGGAAAGACAGCGCGACAAAGTGAGTAAGCTATTTTATTTTTGGGTGGGCCGTTTCAGGGGCCGAAGCTGGCCAGCCGCCTTGAGGAAATTACAATTCGAGCCAAAATGGCTACGGGGGGAGGAGGCGGAGGAGGAGGAGGAGGAGGAGGAGGAGGAGGAGGAGGAGGGGGAGGAGGGGGCGGCGCACGAGTAGGAGGCGGCGGGGGACGGAAGATGAGGAGAATGAGGAGGCGGACGAT